GTAACATGGGTGGTAATAGTTAAGAGTGCCTTTGGGCATGGACAGAATGCATTTCCCTCAATAGAGCTCCAAATGGTGTGATCTAATCTATTTGAGCCTTAGTATATCTTGTTTTGAGGAAAATACAAGTGTTCCTTTGAATTAGTATATTGAATATGGGTCTGCGTGCCAAAGAAGAGGGTTTAAAGTTTAATTTCTAGAGAGCAGAGTCCCAACTTTGAAAAGTGAAAAGCTCAAATATTTAAAAACCTGTAATCTAAAATAGGAGGCATATCTTTAAAGAAAGACACACATTTCAGCTTTCCCAGCAATATCACTTTGTTTTGAGTCCTGGATTTTATCTGAAGGAGGCGATGACCTTTGTCATTCAAAGACATTCGGAGGATAGAGGGCAGATGTTTTTAACTGATGACTGAGCCAAGGTTGGAGGATGGACTGGTTTTTATCGGTTTATTTTTATCTCTTCTGGGATCCTGATTTTGATGGCTTTGCTGTCCCTGTCTGTCCTAATCAGTGTCTTGTTAAAATGTTGCTGCAGACCTAGCAGAATGTGGAGGTTAGTTGGTTGGTGTGATCTAAAGAACTTATAATTTATAACTTATAATTTATCCATGGCAAAGGACTCTGGCAGAATTATGATTATTTCAAAGTTAATGTATGCTCTGCAGTAATTTCTGCTTTGTGTGTCCCCCCCCCCTTTTCTTTTTGGTTCAAAGTTCCCAAACATCTTGATGTTAGTTCTCAAACAGGATCTTTTCCTCCCTATCTCTATGGAAGGTCATCACCTTTATGCTAAAGATATCTCTGTACCTTCTAGCCCTACTGTAATCTCAGAAGGACTTCTTTTTTTAAAAAAAACCCTGAGAAATGAAGATTTCAGAAGGATCTTAGAAATGTTAAGTCACATGCTCTGTCAGTTTCAAACCTGCATAATTCAAAGCCAGTGTGGCAAAAGAAAGCTGACATTCTGAGGTAAAGTTTGCCATGGGGGTGTCATGTCATGGGGTCAGGTTTTTTTCAGTGGCTCAAAATGATTGATGGATTTCCTGTATTTCATGCTTAGGAAAGAATCATGGCAACAAAAAGACATCTAGTATTATGAGAGTGTTTATGTTCTCAGAATACAGTGTGTTTCCTAGCCCAGAGCTAGGAAGCTCACAGAGCGTGAGGGAGAAAGGACACCTTATGTAACTTATATAGTGGAACATTTTTAGCCACAATAGTAAAACTACCTCTGGTGAGATAACTGTCCCCCTGATCCAAATTTATTGTTTATACCAATCAGGGCGTTCCAAAAATTTTGCTCTTCTGGGTCATAAATTGCTCCTCAAAAAAAAGGCATGGGTCATTTTTTTTTTTTGGTCCGAAGACATTATATTGGCTGAGACAAAGAGTAACCCAGTGGCAAATACGGGTAGCTTTTATTGTCCCAGGAGTTTATTTTTTACCTGCTTGTACCAGCATAAAAATTGAAAAAAAACTTGCCTTGAGTTCCTGGCCTGTTTTATGGGCCTGTTGGAATTCTGATGTGTTCTAACTGTGCATAGCAGTAAGGCGAGGGTTAGAGTCAGCAGAATAGTTACATGTTATGTATCTTGTATTTCTCGAACTTCCCCAAAATTCTACTGTTTATCCCCCTAAAAATGTTTCCAACCTACTGAAAACTAAAATAGATCCATTCTGCTTTTCAAGGTCATGGTTTGCCAAAAAATGGCCATGGGACATTTTTGTGTTCTAATTTATTTCATTTTCTGGAACAAAAATTTGTAAAAAGCTGTAGATTTGTTAGGGCATGTTTTCAGTTCCAACTGTTTCTTGTTTTATAGAGGGTTTTAAAAAAAACCCTTGTACTTGGTAGGTGGCCAAAATTTGAGGGCATTGTTTAAATTATTGTCATTATTATAGAATGCCTACATTGCTGATCTAGTCCTGTATGTATTCTGCAACATGACCAGACTGAGAGTATGAAGTTCCTTTTCTGGTACATAAGAGTTAATAGAAAAAACCTGAAAATGGCAAGTGTCTGAAATTTGGGACATTCTTTCTTACTGGGTGGCTTATAGTTTTCTGCTAGGACTATTTTTGTGTTAGTTCCAGAACAAACATTGCGTTGGGGAAGCAAAATGTCCTGTATTCGCTGATGAAGGTTTTTAATGTATTTTAAAGAATATTCTAGAATTACAACAGTATCTTCCAAGCCAGCACCCACCAACTCCTTTGACTACTGTTCCCACACTGGCCCTGCTTGCTAGGAATGATGGGCTTTTTAGTTCAGCATAGGTGGAGAGCACCAGGTTGGGGAAGGGTATGCTAGAAATTTGCAAACATGCATGGACACTGTTGGGGAAAAAAAACAGACTCATGGCACTCCCCTCTGTCTACTAATGTTGATGATCAAAATAAAAGCCTTTGGGTGACAGCACTGTGGTTAAGATTTGTCTGTCTCATTTTATTGGTTGTCATTTGGGGAAACAGATCATAGTGGCATCATATTTTTTGTTAGCATCTATACAAGATAGAAAGAAGAGGAACTCGAGGTGTGAGGCTTGCATTTCGAAAGGCCACCATGTAACCACTGGGGGGGGGAGTGGCTTTAGACTTTATGACCTTGATGAAAATGTGGTGTCTCTTTTGCGTAGCAGTGGTGCTATCTGCAACAAAGAGGGACTGGTCCTCACCATATCTCAGCAGCATTGTGTTTTGCAGTAAGGAACAGCTGGTGTCATGATTCTGGCTGGTTAATTTTCTTGAATGTCCCTACTTCCCCACAGGGCAAATGTGTAAGTTGTTCTGGTCATTGGGAAGAGAACATGAGAAACTTTACCACCCATACCTCTTATATGGGGATGCTCCAAGGGGCCACCCTGGGGGAGGCCTGGAAGTCTACAGCCCATAACCAGGTCTTCTCAGTGGTAGCTGCTTCACTCTGGAATTCCCTCCTACCAGAGGTGGAGCTAGCCCCATCCTTCCTGAGGTCTAGGAGGCAACTAAAGACCTGGATGTTCTCCCAAGCCTTTCTGTAGTTGGCCCCAAAATAATGTTATGTATCCCTCTTGACCTGCCTCCCATGGATTTTTTATTTTCTGTTTTGGCAGCCTTTGTAGCTCTCTTGATTACTGTATCTTTAGGATCATGCTTATCATGGTCTTGGAATTTGGAATCATTTTCTTTTGATTTTTTAAATTTAGTTTTCTATTATTGTTATGTTTTGTTGTGTCTGCCGCCCAGAGTGGTGGTAGCTTCACTACTGATTAGGTGGAATAAAAATTAAAATTAGACGGACAGATACCACAACTCTGTTGAGCATGGGATAAAGAGCTCTAAACTTTATTGACCCCGGGAGTGGTACACAATGATTAGATTAGGCATCCTTCAGTCTCGAGAGACTATGGTAACATGCTCTGTATGAAGGACTTGGTCTAGAGGGGCGGGGTATAAATTTAATAAATAAATAAATAACTAAACAGCGTCTAGTGTGGCTGAGAAATGCCAATTTGAGAGTGACAATCCCTTCCACATTGAAGGCAAATACAATCTATCCCCTGTCCAGCTCCCTGATTTAGGTGCTTTCGGGACTGCCTCTTTGCCTCAGCCTGCTGTACAAGTGTCTCTTCAAATTGGGAGAGGCCATGATGGACCGCCTGCCTCCAGGTTGAACGCACAGATGTCAAAGTTTCCCATCTGTTGAGGTCCATTCCTAAGGCCTTCAGATCTCGCTTGCACATATCCTTGTATCACAGCTGTGGTCTCCCTCTGGGGCAATTTCCCTGCCCTAATTCTCCATATAGGAGATCTTTTAGAATCCGACCATCAGCCATTCACACAATTGTACACAATGAGTGCACATGTATTGTACATTCAAGCATGTGGCGCTTCCCTTTGTAAGTAGCTCAGGCTACTTAGTGCAGAGATCGGACTCTCCACTCCTGAAACAGCATCCTCATCACTTTTTACCTGATTTTTTTCCGTAGACGATGTCAGGGATCAAACCTGGGGCTCCTGGGTTTGGAAGGCATATGCTGTGTCACAGAAACTATAACATGTCTTCAGCTTGCAGTGCTTTCTCTTTCCCTACATAAGGGCATGTATAAGAAATGCATTTGACAGATGCCACTGGGACACAGAATCTCTTTCTGCTTTGCCACTGTGACTCTACCTGTTGATAATTCAGATGTGCTTCTACTTTTATAGCCCACTCAGGATTAAACAAACTTTTGAAAACACATCTAAAAAGAGATGGCTGAAGTTGTTAAAAAGAAAACATAAATTTATCCCCTTCTCCAGAGGTCAGAAAACCTATGTAGTACTACTTCATCTTACACGTACAAGGTGCTAATGCACTGCCTGAGAACTGTGGTGATTGTGCACTGCTCTTCCTTTGATTTCAGGGGAAAAATTGCCTTTAGGATATGAGGCTTTCAGACACTGCCTAAAAATAAACACAGACAGCTTCACACTGTGATCAGGATACTGCTGCTTCTTAAGTTGGGTATTGTAAACAGTCACTATAAATAGCTCTTTCCCCCTGTTTGTGCCTGCCAAGTCATTAATACAGGAAGATGCTATGTCTTGTGAAATGGTTTTTATTTTGACTAATTGTGTATGTGTCTGGACATACTCGTATATGTGCAAAGGACCACAGTGATAGGTTTGTTTCTAAGCCTGTCTGGCCATGCTCTGTCAAAAAGCAGTGCGCATGGAGTGAATTTATGTTGTCAAGAGTACAAGTACACACAACCACTCTATTTAGTGTGTGACCCTCTGCCCCATGCTATTTTGTATACTGACAGCTTGAAATGAAGCTATAAATGAAAGGATGTTTTCAAGATATATAAAAATGATGCATAATTTTAATAATGAGAAAGCATCAGGTTCATTAAAGTAATGTCTTTTTCTAAAATACTGTGTGACAAACTATTTTCTGAGGAATGTGTTTAAACTGAACAAAGTGGATATGTTTTGAATAAGATTTTAATATCAGTGTCTTTTTATTTTGGCAGGTCATTTTTGTTCAGGTCAATCCAGGTGAAACTTTTACGATAAGGGCTGAAGATGGAACTCTTCAGTGCATTCAAGGTAAAGGGGACTGACTCTAGACGGGTGTATTTCTGTATAATGCTGCAAATACCTTTTCATGTTCTTGGTTAATTACCTATGGATTTGTTACTCGTGTTATGTTCTTTCCCTGGCTATAAGGCAGCCGTGTTAATAAACCTGAAGCACTCAGATTATCAGTCCTAAATATTTCAGCTTTGTAAACATTTTAGATGAGATTTGTCACTAAAAGAAGTAAAATGTTTTTAATTCAACTTCCATTCCAGTATCACTTTTCAGCTTGATAGACCGTCAATACTTCAGGCATCATCATGTGGTATGTGGCATACAAAGATATCACAAAGAGATTATTACAGAGTTATTGATTGTCCCATGGTGGTAATTTGTTTTTGTTGGATCTGGAGGTCTTCAGATCCAACCTGTTGAGGATGCTCTGTTTCTGCACCATCTGCCTTGAGTACAGTGCCGGATTAGGCAACCTACCAGACCCTTTGAACTTTATTATTCTGCTGTGGTTTCTGTGTGAAAGGCTTGTATGTCCTGCATCCCCATGCTGTGCCCATTCATGGCCCATTTACTGTTGAATTTGGAAAGTCATTTACCCTTCTGTATATAACTGGTGACTTGCTTGCTCTCATCATCTTCATTTTTCTGCTGTGCAAACATCTGCATGGTACTTCATTCTTAGGACCAGGGTATTCTGTGCTGATTGATGTGAGCTTGACAGATGGATGGGCCTGTTTCTGATAATACATCGTGCTACATTTGAAGCAACCAAAGTCGTTTTCCTGGCTCATAATTCTTTAAACATCACAGTTCTTTCCCAAGTGTAAGGTGTCATTGAGCAAAGATGGAGTTCCATCACTGTGACATACATTGAAGGTGCTCAAACTGGCATGTCTTAAGATAATGTTAACACAGTTCATAAGCATATTTCATATAGTTAAGATGTAGGAGAACTGATTATGTTGAAGCACAGATCTGTAACATTGGATAAAATCTTGAAAGTACTGCCTGACTGATGCATAGCAGGCTTACATAATAGCGTTGAAGGTGGAGCATTGTCAGGAAGTGAGCCTCTGAAGCCAGCTGGGAACGTGTTGTCTGGACTAGACATCCTTTGACTAATCATTTTCTGGAGCTTTGCATACATCAGTAAACTTGGTAAGGATCCCAGTGAGGACCGGTGTGATGTAGTGGGTAAGGTTCTGAGCGTCAAGTCAAAGGCGTTACATTTCTATTGAGACATGAACTTCACTGGAAGACAGTGAACTGGTTATTTTCGGTCTGGCCGTCTTGCCAGCTTCACAGGACGGTTGTGAGGATGTAAAGGATGGGAAAGATGAAATTATAATTATATACCATCATGAACTACTTTGATGAAGGGCAGGATAAAAGTATAATAAAATAAATAAAAATAAATCATTGCCCCGTTTTGCTGAGACTGAAAGACTACTGTCCTATGTATGACCACCTGGTGAGCCTGTGGTTGAGGGAAAAAATTTCAATTAAGGACTTTAAGTTCACACACTCAGTTACATATGATTGTAGAGAATCTCAGGTCTTAGTAACCTTATATGTCCTGGATTTGTCCCCTAAGAAAGACATGAAAAGCCAGAAAGTAAATGTCAGGTTGGATTTTCCTCCCTTTCCCACATGAAATGTTTTTGATCAATGTACAGTATGATTCTGGGCTAAAGTTGAAGAAAAGCAGGTTTGTGCTGCTTGCTATAATGGTGAAACTCTTTAAGTAAAGCTCACACCTTGGGGGAAGGAAAAAAAATGCTCCCTGTAATGCTGCCAATATCTGGGGAGAGGTAGTGGTAGCAGTCATGCATAGGATGTGTGAGTCATTCATAGTAAATAAGTCTACCCAGGAGCTATGTTTTTTTAATATTCTTTTTCTGCTTGAAACCAGTGATCATGAAAGCAGGAGAACTAATCATTTGAGCTCAGTATTAAGAAAGGAGCAATTCAGTCGTGACCTGCAGTAAGAATGTCTCATCAAAGAAACCCGTTTATGTGTTCATTTTTTTTCTTTTTAGTTTTCACGTAAAGTAGAAATAAAAAAAGGAACTAATGAAATTGACTTGTGCCTGTGACTTGATATTTCATTTACTAAGATCAGAAGCAGAGAGTTCCCCCGGAAAAGGAGCTGGGTGCATTGATCATTTTCAGTTTTTTTTTTCTGGCTTATGTTAGATTGGCCCAGGTACTCGCTAGTGTAAGAATCTTATTTCTAGAAGACAATGAATTATTGTGCACAATTCTCATTAAATGTCCTTTTTGGTATAACACTTTTTCTGAGAATATTATTTTTTCCCAAGCTGTTTTCCCCATAGTAATCTAGGACAGTGTGCATTTTGTGTGGCTTTTCTGTAGCATATGGTGTTTTTTTTTGGTCTACATTTCTTCCCATTTTCACGTGTATCGTTTTGGAATATTGCTCCATTTGGGAAAGTGCGCATTTTGGGCTGGAACTCTGTTCTGGTTTGCTCATTGGTCCCTGCGGGTGTGAATATAGAAAATGTGAATAGGAGGAGCAAAACACCCATATGTGCTGAGAACCTAGTCATAATTTGATGCATTATTGCTTTAAAATAAATTTCAATTTAATATCATTTCATGTGGCCTCCAAGAAGAAGTGACATTAGCCAAATCCTAGTCAGCACCTGGACCTATGTACCTGATTCAGGATTTCGTTTCAGAAACAGAGAGATAAACAAGGTCTTGCATCAATCATCATTGGGTGCAACCTCCAAATTGTAATCTAGTTCTGCACCACACCAGCGCAGAAAATCTGCTGCTCTAGTGTTCATGGTAGGTTGACATCCAACCTGTGTATAAAAACCCTAATGGCGAATGCACCCCTTTCTGAGACAATCTGTCCACCTGTGTAATACTTCATACCATCATGCATTTCCTCTTAATACTTTTGGTGAAATCCCAGTTCTTGCTGCTGAGCTTTTTGGATTTGATCCTACATTCTGGAACAATCTTTGCATGGTGCTCAAGTGTCTAAGTCTATTGTGTGCTAGCCTGTGTCGGGTCCTAAATTCTTTTTCTAAGGCAATATTTATACTATTGTGCAGTCAATATTTAATGATGAAATGGCGAGGGCATGCATATGCACAAAGATTAAAACAGGCACAAAAATGTAGTTCCTTATTCCAAGTGTTTCCCTCTGTGTGTCACAGTAGGATGTATCTGAACTATACAGTTGTAGCATCTGGCTGGATATATCAGTAGTTTATGCATCTGGCTGAAAAGCCAGAGGTTGGGAGTTCAGTTCCCCCCTCCAGAAGAAGAGAATGGTAAACTATTTCTGAGTACTACCTAGAAAGCCCTGGAAAGGGTAATCATAAGTCAGAATTGACTTGACAACACATCATCATAATCAAGAAATTTGTAATTTGGTGACACTCTTGGATCTCTCTTCCGAAGAGCTGTCATGCACTCCTGTGAACTATAGTAGAGAATTTTAAATATCTCACAAAAGTGGAGCTCCAAGGATTCTTGAGCCATGACATTTAAAATGGCATCAAACTAATATAATTGTGTAGTGCAGCTACACCTCAGATTAAGAGAAGAAAGTCTCTCTGTAAATTCCATTTATGCACATGTGTTTAAGATTACAATATTTCATTGTAGCATGTTTTTATTGAGTCTTTCTTTGTATTTCTTTTCCAGTTCTTAGTCTAGAAAGCTGGTGACATTCTGTGATCAGTCAAATTCTAGCCACAGTTGGTAGCCTGGCTGTAGTGTTGATTGATTTTTAATGAAAAACATTTGTGTTAATGTTCCGAATTTCTACATTTCCTCAGTTTTAACACACATTCCCTTTGTGAAGGAGGGAGATCTTGTGTTTCAATATAGACACAGTGGGTTACCTTCAGGCTCATTGTGCATCGGCCCGCCTGACTGCTACACAGCAAGCCCTTGCTCCTTTAAGACCTGGGCTGGAAATCAGTCATACAGCCCATATAAATATAGGCCAGTGTAAATTTTACTTTCCACTTTCTATCATTGACCTGGTGGTTATGTATATATCAAAATCCTAGTCGGTTTTTGATCCAGAATGTGAAACTACAGTACTTTTTTCCTCTAGAAGTGGTGTCTCTCCTATTGCAGTCCGAATCCCTTTCAATCCAAAGTTTTTTTTAAAATATATCAAATTCCTAGTCAGTTTTTGATCCAGAATGTGAAACTACAGTACTTTTTTCCTCTAGAAGTGGTGTCTCTCCTATTGTAGTCTGAATTTTTTAGAAATGACAAAAAATTGCTGGATGCCAGACTGTGTATAGTTGGAATCTTCCACATAAAGTTTCAGAACTTCTGTCTGGGAGTGGCATTCCTTAATGACTTTGATCAAAACTTCACATGGAATCTGGAGATCTGCTACATACGTCAATATTTTCCTTCCTTTTCTTCCCTCCATTTTAAAAAAACTGCAATAGCCAACTTCAGTTTTGATAGTTGTAAACTGAATAAAGCCGTATTTTCTGAGCATGGATGGGATAAATAAATGTAGTTGCTGTTAAAATCAAAATCTGTTTAGTATTTGTTTTTTTACATTACAAGTATCATTATACTGGAATTCAGCAACTCAAAATGCGAGCATACATCACAGACGTAATATCATCCATACTTTCAGCATGGTTACAGGTTCAAGCATAGGCTGTAGAACTGAGGATGCTCTTTCCTATCCAGTGTGTAAAAAGAGGTTGGATAGTAATCTGTAACTGGGGAAAGCCTGCATCACCATATGATTCTAGGCTGTAGAACTGAGGATGCTCTTTCCTATCCAGTGTGTAAAAAGAGGTTGGATAGCCATCTATCCAGTAATCTGTAACTGGAGAAAGCCTGCATCACCATATGATTGATTTGGTTGCTTACAACTCTACAATCGTATCATTTGCTGTTCTTTAATCATGGTTATACTTTATGTTAGGTAAAGGTTCCCCTTGACATTTAGTCCAGTCGTGTCTGACTCTAGGGTGCAGTGCTCATCCCTGTTTCCA